GTGGAGATTGTAAACTGCATTACAGGGCAAAATGTTTGTAAACATCACAGAAGTCTATACCCTGCACTTACCATTTAAAATCCAGGTAATTTGTAATCCTGGTGCAAAAAGCAGACCTTAAGAATAAATTCTTTCTCAAGTTTAAACTTTAAAAGTTTGGGCAGTGATTATTACTGAGCAGCAACATGAGAGCCACACAGTCACCAGCAGGACGTTTTTCCTCTTGTTGAAAGGACAGTTTGAAATTTAGTTTCTATATCAAATGAACAAAGACTGATAGTTCAAAGATACATGTGTAAAGTCAGAGCTGTAGCTCTATAGACAGTAAATTCAGGTCAGGATTTTCAGACCTGTGGCCCTTGTATGTGTTTCTGGCATCTCTCAGTTAAATTTACTGCAACTCATGTGGTGCATCACAACTGCCTCATTCAGAAAGCAAATACCTCGTGAAGCAAACAATATAGAGAATGGCAGGAAATTCATAGGAAAAATAAGAGTAACTGTTAACAGAACTGGACATCTCATTACCACTGTTTTTTCCCTGTTAATTGATTTTTAAGAAATGGCTGTCCAAATTCTTCTGAAAACCACTCAAAACTGCAGAAAATTGCTGAAGGTGTTACTAGACATAGCGGTATAAAAAGGTTGGTGAGATCTAGGACACATGCCCTGCCTCTGAACCCTTTCACCAAGCACTATGCTTAAAAGCCGGGCTTATCACCCAGTATTGGGCATGTCTTCAAGAAGTGCATTTCTCTTTAGACTGAAGCTTCTGACATTCCAAACAGATTAAAGCATCAAAAGATTCTCCAGCAATCAGCTGTCATTTCATTGCTACCACAGGAAAAATCCTTTACATTTGAAGGCTCAGGATGCTTAGACTGATACATTACAGCTCTAAAGTCCACCACTTGGGAATCCATACAGTTCCCTTGATTTTCTGAGCACAAAATGAAAACACCAAAAATGAAAACAGTTTGTTTCAAAGCTAGTGGAGCATTTCTGTTCTCTTCTGCCTTTGAACACAGAGGTTTCCTTCTGCCTCAAGGTGGCAATACAACTGTGATAGCTGCTCGCTTCCAGGGCTGCGTGTACCAGAACTGAATCAGTCTGGCTTATTTCTCCTGCTGTTAAGCCATCAGCAAAACAACTCTGCAGTGTTATTGAACACTGGAAAGGAAAAATTATGGGAAGATAAATTCTCAAACATGTTTCCAGTTTGGATTTTCAAAAAAAGGATTTAAGAAAATATTCTCTTTACAGCTCTGCAGTATTCTCAAATGTGTCTCACATACCTGAATATTATAATTAGCTTAATTGGTTAGCAATTATTGACATCTTTTCTTAAAAGTATAATTTAATGGACATGCTCCAACATACAAAGATGATGTTAAGGAAGGAGTGAGTAACTAGCAAAATAAACTCATGCTAAACTGAAAATTAAGGAGTTTGTAATGAAAATTCCCCTGTATCTTTCAGGTAATTTGCCCTGTTATTCATTTATCATGCTTAATGTTCACGTGAGAGTGTATCAGAGATAAAGTACAACCTGTATTCATACAAGTGTGTTCTCATAGGACCATTTCAATTTGAAAAATCCCTTAAGACTCATCACTGTCAAGTCCAGCACTAAACCATGTCCCCAGGTGTCACATCTACACATCTTTTAAATACCTCCAGGGATGGTGACTTCACCGCTTCCCTGGGCAGGCTGCTCCAGGGCTTGACATCCCTTTCCAGGAAGAAACTTCTATGTACAATTCAGCTGTGAAACCCAGATTAACTGAATTTGTTCAAGATTTTGGTAAGCACCTACTGTTGTGAGAAGAGTGCAATTCTGACTGGGTTGACAGGCTCACCCCCAGTAACTCAGCCAGTTACTAACATGCAAACATACAATAAGCAAGAAGGAGAATCCACTGCTACAGCAGGGTTTTAATTTACACAGGTATGTTTTCCACATCATTGACCATAATATTACTCCTTGAGCCATCAAACTGGTACAACTGCTGATCCCCAACTGATTTAACCTCTTCCATGCACAGATGTTTGGAAAATCCCATTATGAAGCAGCAAATACTTTCCCCCCAAAAGAGCAGTGAGTAACACACACAAACACAATTACATATCGGGGGACAACTAGAACCACACTCTGGGTCAGGCATGCACACAAAACCCATCCTGTTTACTTTGCTAAATACTTCTTTTTGTGTGAGCTATAACTCAGGAAAGACTTCATATTTAAGTTCTGAACAGTACCTGTACCCTTCAGATTGGGGTAGAGGGACACATTTCAAGCCAATTTAAGGCTCTAGAGGCCTCACTGTTGATGAAACAAAGCATTTCTGAAGCTTAAGTATGGTACTCCACTATTATAATGAAAAGTGATTGGTATGAGCTCTACAGATACACAGGACAAAAGATGGCATTTTCAGACCAGGAGGACTCAGTCTGCTGGAGAGATAGAATATAAAAATGAAATAGAGAACACAGCACTTGAAAGCTAAGAGGAACTGAAAAGAGAGATGAATAGCTGCTTAGAAAGCTATAACGAACCATGGAATGCAAATTACATAAAGACAAAAGCTTCAAGAACTCCAAACTAAAGCAAGCCTTGAAGAGAAACTTAATTTATTTAACCCACAGTAAACACAGTTGGCGCTATGGTTCAAATACTGCTCCTCTAATACAGACATATTAGCCTCCCTGGAACATTATTCCAACAGGCCTCCAGCTCGTACACACGCACTGTGCTACGAGATTGTGAAGCAAATGCAAAGAAACAAGAGTAAAGATAAAAACCGAAAGCACCAGTGGCAAGGTTAGTTCAGTTGTCCTATACATGCTTGGCAAAAACCTCTGGAACAGACTGAGGAGAGGCTTATGGAATGGGCTTTTTTTGATACAAAAATTCACAGGCTTAAACATTATTAAGGTCTACATTTCTGTAAAAGGGAAAATGTCATATATTTATCTTGTTACCACTGAAAGTTGCAATACAGCTGAACCAATTCCTTTCCACCATTTTTAATTAAAAAAATGCTGCCAAATTCAGTTTTAAATTTCCTCCAAACTTCTTTTATTCCTTGCAAACTGACCTGAAATCCTGCTAATAACTCAGAAATCTTTCTTCAGAAACTGATTAGTCTCAACAAAATTTCGAATTTTTAATGAAACTGCATTCTTTCCAACACAAAAATCATTCTCTACAACCATTTCATCACACATATTATGTTTAAATTACATACAGTAGCGCTCGAGATCTCTGTTATAGTTCATTCTACTTCAGCTTTTTTCCTACAAAAAGCTGCTTAAAATCCTAAGGCAGGAGTATGGCAATATGTCAGTTAAAGTCTCAGTGAAACACAGAATAAACTGGCTTGTTAAATCAATCCATTAAGCCTTCTGAAAAGACATCCCAGTATCAGCCAAGCACTATGTGTGGGACAATCAGATACATCCGCACGTGCCTTTTAAGGGCTCTGTACTTCACAGACTGCTTAGGCTAATACCATGTGCTTTGGGAATTGTCATGGCAACGGTGTATTTCCTTACAAATGGATCAGTATAGTAAACAGGCATATAAAACCCCCTTGTAGCCTGACAATAATGTCTCTTAAGCTTGCATGCCCTCCCTCAATGACACACAGAAGCAAGGGTGGTGGTGGCATGTGAAAAATCCACACACAAGGCAAAATCCTGTTAACAGGCATCTGGCACAGCACTGGGCGAGTGGACGGAGCAACAGCTTGCCAGCAGGGCTGCCTGCATACTCAGTCCACAGATTTCATGTGTGGGGGAATCATCACTGTGTAGTACAAGAGTACTCAGTGAGCACTTGCTGTTAATCACAAGATGGTTTGGGTTGGAAGGGGCTTTATGGCTCATCCAGTTCCAACCCCCTGCCACGGGCAGGGGCCCCTTCCACTAGAGCAGCTTGCTCCAAGCCCCTGTGTCCAACCTGGCCTTGAACACTGCCAGGGATGGGGCAGCCACAGCTTCTCTGGGCACCCTGTGCCAGCGCCTCAGCACCCTCACAGGGAAGAGCTTCTGCCTAAGCTAGTTAAGGCAGTGAGTGATGAGCTGTCAGAACCACACAGCAGGATGAAACACTAGTTAAAACTGGGCAAAATGAACAGATTACCACCCATGTTCTCAGGTAAACAAATTTCTTGTCTCTGCTAAAATAAATTAAGCCACACGGGTGTATGTGACCCATGTAAATGCTCACACATTCTCAGTAAACAGATTAAAAAACATGATTTGGACAAATATTCCCAAACTCCCTTTCTACCTCCATCTCAGTGTCCATTTAATATTGTAACAGTCTTAGGAGTAACACTGTATAATATCTTCTACACTGCCAAGCCAGGTAAGTAAAAGGCTGTCTGCAACCTGTCAGGTTTTCTAGAGCTTGTGTCATTTTGCTTCTTTGCTATCAGACAAATGATATATAATAATAACTGTTTCATTGTACTCATCTGTCACCAAAAAAAAAATCAGCTTAATCCTGTATTTCCATGTTCAACTCTACTTTGGAAACAATGAAAAAGAGTGTTCTTGGCTTCAGTACTTCATCCCTCCTTGACTGCATATACAGACTTCTGCTTCAAAGACAACAGTCATCTCAATGCTTAATTACTCTACTAATTTTGACTGAGATTTAGAGTTGGAATAAGCAGAGAACCACAAAATGGCCAAGTCTCAGTTAAATTCATTCCTGCTGAACCTGTGGCAAGGATTTTGCCCATCTGTAGCAGAAGCAGCAACTGCAGCTGAACACTGGAAAATCCTGAAAACCAAGGGCACTTTTCTAGTAGAAGAATTGTATATTCCAGCACATGTAAGCAGCAATGGCTTTAAAGCCCTAGCCACAATTCCAGACCTCTGACAATGAACAACTACCCAGCAAGCACCTCCATTCAAACTTAAAAATCAAGAAAACTCTTGCAGTTTTACCCAGTCAGAGAGGAAAATAAATAGAGGGACCATGATCCTACCTGTGGGTCAGACAGTCGGGAAAGGTCAGGGTACAAGTAGAATTTTATCCCCTCGGAAGCACCTGGTAACGTTACTCCACGAATGAGGAGAATCATCAACATGATATAGGGGAAGGTGGCTGTAACATACACAACCTAGCAAGAAAAAGCAAACGTTAGAAAAATATTTTCTTCCAACTGCAGAAAAGCCCACCCGATTTCCACATCCATTTTGCCATTGGTTAAAAACCAAATCCTTTCTAGAAGAAAAGTGCTTTGGATGCCTTTGCTCATGCAGGTGAATTTTATCCTTCGATCTTCCCTTCTAAACTATGTCTTGTAGGAAAGGTCCACACATTTTTATAGAGAGATTGGGAAGTTCTTCAAGTATATTATCTGCTCTGTCTTGGTAGCAGGAGACCAGACATTAGACTCTAGCGTACCTAACACCCTTACCACCTACTATTTCAAATACAGATACAGGGAGTTACCTTGTAATAGCAAGTAATTAATTGCATTCTATATATTTCATAGCAACATACACAAGGAGTTCTCAGTCACCTTGTAATTACTAAACTGTCATCTCACAAGATGGCTTTGCATGTCTGTGTTTGAGGAATAAATATTCTAGCAAGCCTAAAGGTTAATGCTCTGTACATCTATCTCCTTGTGATGTGCTCTAGCACCCTTATCATGAAAAGCACCTCCAGGCACACTTTCTGAAGTGCTCAAGCCCAGCAACTTCTGTTTCCTTGTATATGACCACACTTATTTTTTTCCAGAAAAACTGAGCTTTTCTGGAAACCTGCAAGAAATCACATCTTTCAAAGACAAAGTTGAGCAGAATTGATCCCACTTTATGATCACAAACTGAGAACAGTATACAGCGATTGAAACTTGGAGATTGATTATAAATTCCACATTACTATAAGTATTTCCTTTAAATAATAACATAAATTCCCTATAGCTATTTCCACCTGCACAGAGTAGGTATAAAATATGCTCATGAGGGGATAATCTTATACATCTGCCTTGCACAAGCCAAAAATCACTTAACAAGCTGCAAGAATGGGGAAAATCCTTCAGTAAAAGAATACAACCTGTAGGGCCCTCCAAAAATTTACATTTAAAATTCAAAAGTTCATTATCTCTCTCATGGCTATGTAAATGAAAGAGACATTAGAAAACGCCCCCATGAAAGGATTTTCAAACACATTTTCATTCCTAATCAAACCTGATTTCATCAACTGAAATCTGATTTGCAGGTAGTGCTGAGTACTTAACCCCAAGCACGAAATCATCTCATGTGTGCTCAGCTGGTACACTCAGAAATGAAGGAACTTAAAATCATATGGCAGATCTTCAAGTAAGTCCAGCTGCCCAAGACAGACACTGCTCTCTCACTGACCTATATTTCTAATATAGGTAAGCACCTATATATCTTTCAGGTGCCTTAGCCCTTTTGAAAACACAAATCATGATTTTCTTAGGAAAAGGAGACAACCATTATATTCCCATAGGTCTCAGCGACCTGAACTGATGAATTCATAGGTCAACAAGCTTTATCCTAGTGCTTACATTTACTGTAACTGACTCTTAGTGCAAATGTAAACCGATACGACTGGCTGTGTTTAAATACACCTTGTCTCAAAGAGATTGCTCTCCACATTTCGGTTTCAAATGAAAATAGATTATCAGTTAATGAGAAGTAAAAACAAAACATACAGAATGGATACGGTTCTGCTCTAAGCCTTAGATGAGGTGGAAACGATGGAGGAGCCAGCCTCTGGCTTTCATGCTTTTGTATTAAATTCTTTGCCAGCTATTTTTACTACTCCTTTTAAATCAATAATTGCTTTTAATAAAGGATAGTCAGCAGACATATACATTTGATGACATAGAAGGCATTGCACCTGAAGAGCTGTTATCACATTAAAGAGCATTTCATTGCACTGTGCTTTATTAACTCTACTGGCTTGCAGCCTGCTATCTCACACAACCCACTGCTGCTTTCCAGTATTTTCCATCAGTAAACAGACTGCAATTTTGTACAGGCAGATTTCTTCCCAGGTTCCTTTGGATGTATATCTTCACTCAGCCTCATCCAGGAAGAGCTGAAATCACTCCTTTATGCCAAAGAAAGATCAGATAGAGGTACCCCTGAAGAGGAGTCTGTAATCCTGCAGCAGCTATCTAGGCTTGCAGAGTTGTAACTCAGGATTTTCTGTTTGCTTTTCACATGTCTTCCATGGCTCACCCATGCCTGTTATTAACACTGTTGCAGGTACTAGAACCACAACCTCTAGCAGACTTTTTGATCATGAGGACAGTTGTGCTTTAGAGGAATGAGGACTCGCCTTCCTTTCTGGTTATAATGCAGAAAGATGATATACAGAGTGCAACTGGCTCAGTATTTCTGGCAGTAAAAACTAATGCAGTTATTCAGAACAATAACAACAGAGATACCAAGGAAGCATGTGTGAGGAAGATACAACCCTCCTGAGCCAACTGGCATTTTTGACAACTTATTGGTGTTGGTGCTCATGCAGGTCAGGAGGCTGCTAGAATTGCAAGCTTCTCCTGTACTGCAAGAGGTCTGCAGTGTGTTGAGAGACAGGAGTGGCCACCTACAATGCTCACCATTGCTTTCAGTGCATCAGTTGCTCATTTTATTATGCTTCTCAACAGCTCAGGAGGTGAGGGAGGATGGGGCATTGTAGAAATCAAATGCCATTATTAGTATCATCATCACATCTGTAGGCATTAAAAGTTTCCTGAATTGTTTTCTTTCAACACATCAAACCTCTCTGAATATAAATGTGAACACAACTGTTTCTAATTACACTGCATCCTGTTTTAATTGACTTTAATTGCTTGGTATGTTAATTTGCATTCCAATGCTCAAAATGCTTTTTTTAAACCCTTGTCAGGGCGATGCCAGTGTTTAAGCAGTTGGAAACAAAATACAAATTTCTGGCATGCTAGATTTTGCATTTCAAGTTCTGCTATTACAATATCATTGAAAGACAAACTTACAGAGATATTTAGACATATAAGTATGTAAAGAGGCATCTACTGGGACATCTTACAGCTCTTAAGCATACTTAGGTGCTTAGCTGAAAGTACACGAAGACCAAAGACTGTGAGAACAGATACGTCATTGATTGCCATAAGCTTTAAGTACTGAAGTATTCAAAGTAAGTTAAGACCAAGTACTGGAACCTTAAATAGCAAAATCTTAAGAGACTTACCAAGGTGAGTTATAAAGATATTTAGGAATCTATGCAATGGTTTCAGAGCAAGGCACCACAAAGGTGTTGAGAACTGAACTAGCTGCCAGTTTGAGCCTTTTCATGTTTCAGTACCTTTAAACCACAAATACGGTGCATAGTTTAAAGTTGGCTACTGGGCCTGTTGAAATTCTTGTCCTAAATGAAAGGGCTGTTTTCTGAACATTCTGGCCAGATCATGCTGCAGACGTTCAAGTGAAGGTGACCTGGCTTGTGAGAAAATGTAGGAGAAATACGTGATAAAGCTGTTGAGAATAAGGAAGAAGCCCTGCATGCAATGAACTGAGCCATAAACCCACAGCCTTCTCCAACTACAGCTTCTACAGACCCCACCAGCCTGATGTTCAGACACTACCTCACAGCAGCTTTGTAGTGGGGTGAGCCAGGAAGCAGTGAACTTTAATCCTTTGCTTGGCTCTTGATGAGAACAAACCAGAACTTGAATTCAATAAACAAAACTTCACTTTCTGAGCCTAGGAAGCTAAGGGAATACTTTAGTGCAAGCTGGGATGCTCAAACTTGTTTGCACTATAATCAACCAATTGCACTTTATGAATTGAAGTGTTTAATGTCACTTGATCCTTCAGAAAATGACTGACTTGCTAATGCCCTCTCCATAAAGTCTTCTATTGCCCCAGCTGAGTTTTAGAAGAGTTATATGGAAAATAAAGCCTGAACCCCTGCTCTGCCTATCGTTACCTTGCATTTAGTGTTCCTAGCCTACTGGCTTGGCATTTAGCCTATTTATGCAGTTGACACTGTGACCACGGAGAATTAGGCTGACACCACCAACATCTTTCTTTCAGGGGAGACTGCTGAGCAGTCTTCAGATGTCTGTGACGTACAAGGTTTGTCTACACAGGACAAAGAGAAGCAAATTTTGCCCGTGTTGCAGTGTGGAGAATCACCTTGGGAACCAAAACTTCACTACTTCAGTGATGTGACAGGGAAAAGAGTCATTTTTATCCTGCTTTATAGTGTGGTTGCAGAAGGGCACGTTAGTACAACTACAGAAATCCAGTTATCTCTCTGGCAGCTCTGGTGGTTGGTGATGTAGAGACATCCAGGTATTGACAATTTGGGCATCATTTCCATCAAGATTTAAAGAAAATATAAGGAAAAGTTCTCCATGCCACATTCTGACTAACCCAGGCATTCTGACTCCACTAATCATTTCCTAGCTTCACAAATTCTAATTCCCTAGATGTTAACAACAAATGATAACAGATTTTCTTTTTCAGCTACCATGGTAGATTGTGAAATTTCCTATACAGCATTGGCTGAAAAAGTCCTTTGCTGATTTGACTCTGCAGCATCTACAAATGACAATGGAAAAGAAGACATTTTGAACATTGGTTGGATTTATGAGAAAAAAACGTATGGAACTGTGTAAAGCAATGACAGGTGAATCAGAAAAGTATGTCGGGGCGGGGAGGAGAATTCTAGATCTGTCTACATTTTAAAGTTTAATTTCATATGCAGAAAAAGAAACCAAACCAAAACCCCATCAGAATCCCAGATGAGTTGATTTGTATGATGTATGCTTGGGATGGCAGGAGAGAGATAAAAATCATAGAATCAACTAGGCTGGAAAAGACCTTTAAGACTGTCAGCCCGACTGTCACCCCAGGAATGTCAAGCCTCCCACTAAACCATGTCCCTAAGGGCAAACTGATCTCCCCTCATGGCTGCCCCTCGTGATCTCCAGTCACAGCCACACTGTATAGCTGCCACCACTACCCCTCCTGGTCACCCCTCATCTCCTCTCAAGATGTCCCCTCATTGCTGCCCCTCATAGCCCACGGCTGCCCCTGATCTCACCTCATGATCTCCCCTCATCCCTCATGGCTGTTCCCCCTTGTCCCC